CCCCAAAACCCCAAAACCCCAAAACCCCTTTTGGATAAAAATATTCTAATTTTTTACAAAAATTAAAAATTTAAATGGAACCTCAATCAGGCCCTGAATATATGGAACTTATGTTCGAAAATGGAGATATTTACAAGGTAAAATATTATTGTTTGAGTTAATATAGGGCGAAGTTTGGCAGAATAAGTTCCATGGTCTGGGAATTTTCTCAAAATAAAGACAAATTTGTGTACTGTGGTAAGAAAATTATAGCTATTTATTAGGTCAGTTCAAAGCAGGAGCTTTTCATGGTATTGGAAGATACTGAGATCCTTCACAACTTATGATGTTCCAAGGAGAGTATCAGCATGGACAAAAGAATGGAAATGGGAGATTAGAGACTTATAAGAACAATATCAGTTATTCTTCTCTAATCCCTGATGCAGGAGAAGTGACTTTCAAAAGTTATAAGAAGTATATTGATGATAAGATCATCTCACAAGTCAAAGGAGATCTTGAATCTGAAATCATTGATTGAATCAGAATTACCGAAGGAGAAGTCAAGGATAAATTTGGAATCCACTCAGCTAAAAATGTAGACTATAATGAGCAAGTTAGTGAAATGAAGAAAATCAGAGCCCGATCGACCTTTGATAAAAAGTACATTGGTGAATTCAAACATGACTTTAAGTATGGTCTTGGAATAATGGAGTTTTCTAACGGAGATACATACCAAGGAGAGTACATTAATGATAAAAGACATGGGTTCGGAAAATATACCTACCTTTCTGTAGGCCATGATTGCTTAGTTTATTTTGGCCAGTTCTCTCAGGACACAATGAATGGCGAAGGAAAAATGGTATTTAAAGATGGCACTGTATTTGAAGGAAATTTTAAAAATAGCAAAATGCATGATGAAGATGCTATGCTGAAATACCCTAATGGGGACGTTTATACAGGAGGTATAGCTCATAACCAAAAGCACTCCAAGGATGGAGAATACATATATTCTAGTTCTAACTATTCAGGTATGTTCTATTTATCATTTTTAGGCGCAGATTTAGTCTATAAGGGTGAATTCAAAGGTGATCAAAGGGTCGGCAAAGGAACTGTACACTTTTCCACTCCAAGTATCATTGTAAATGCTAAAATTGAAGAAGATACTCAATCACAAGAACGCATAAGGAGTAAAGCTACAGCGAGTGTTGAGTTCGTCGATGAGAAAATGATTTATGAAGGGGAGGTATCTGGAGAGGCAATTCATGGTACTGGAGTCCTTAAGCATCTTGACACTGGCAATGAATTTAGAGGCACTTTTATGAACAATAAGAAGCATTGGTAATATAAGCATAAAATCCATTAGGATGGAATTATTTTGAGTTCTGACTTATTCTAATAATTTATGCATTTTTGTAGTAGATGAGAGTTCATACTTAAAGAAGGAGATACAGAGAAACAGTTTACTGGAGAATACACTCACGGGGTTGAAGATTCCTCAAAGAGTGATTATGGTAGAAGAAGTTAGGATCAATTTTATATAATTAAAAGGGGTTTTGGGGTTTTGGGGTTTTGGGGG